TTCTTCGCGCGCGTCATCTTCGCGGCAAGGGCTATCGGCGTTTGAGAACCGACAAATAAATCGCTTCTGCGCGCGTCAGCTTCCTCGACGATCTTTATACGCAACGCCTCCGGCGTCGGCAACGCGTCTCGCGACTCGATCGCGCACCGAAAGTTTTCGAACGCCGGCGGAAGACTGTACAGCAGCATGATAGTCAATAAATCTGGGTTTACCTCGATGTTCATCTCTCCCAATTTATCGACGGTGTCGAAAAAATCGCGCAGGTGATCACGAATATCTTCTCCGTCGCTCATTCGATGAAGTGTCAGCTTCTTGAGCAGTGACGCTTTCCGCGCTGGTCCTGTTAACTGATATATCGCTTGTAGTTTTTGCCACAGGGCATGTGATGTCATGCATCCTTTTATGAGTTTCAACTCGGATGGACTGATCGCCAAGATGATATCAGACTTCGCAGTTCGGTCGGTTTTCTCCCATGCTGCTCTGGCAGCGGCGGCGTTCGCATTTCCCTCGACGGCTTCAGGCTTTGCCGTTTCTCCGTTCACGATAGACCACGAATCGCTCTTGACGAGCAGGGCCTCCATTTGTATGCGCCACGTGTCGTAATTATCTTTTCCGAGCGGCTCGATGCGGACGGTGTGTTGAGACGCCATCTTGTCCCGCGCTCGTGTTGTTCTCGAAAAAAGAATCGGTTATTATTCCTTTTTTTTTTGTTTGTGTCCACACACGCACTTCGCGTTCACTTTGCACTTAATTCTCGCGTCGTCTTGGGCCCATAACCTATTGACGAAATTCAGGTGAAGGCAAAGGCAAAAAAGAACAGGGTGTGTGCAGAGAACCAAAAAGATATATTGATAAACAGACGTGGTCGTTACATGTGTCGTAGCCAGACTGGGACGAAACAGAGAAACCAGCGCGTAACGCCGATACGTGGCGTTAGTGGCGACACAACATGTATTGCTCGTAGTATGTAGGAAGCAGGACAAATCTCAACACGAATTAAATTCACAAGCAATTTTTTCATAATTAATGCTCAATCAGGCATCATAAGAAAATGTTAATATGCTGATAAATTGTAAATAAATTTATTGCGAAAAATATTACCTCGGCTAGGAGTTGAACCCGGATCTCTTGTACTTCATATGAGCATCCTAAGCTTTTAGACTAGAGATTTTAGTAATATTCTTCGCAATAATTGATATATGTAAGGAAACGTCTTTCTTTCAGGCGACGTAATATAAACAATAAGAATTTTACTGACCGTACATTTGAAAATTCAACAATAAGAAATAAATGTAATGAGATTATAACAATTAAAAAAATTATAATGGTCACAAAAAAGTAATAAGTTATCGAACATTCTCATAATGTTGAAATGGCAAAATACCCAATGAAATCTTAATATCGAATGAAACTTCTTTTTATTTCATTGTTTTTGCATACTTAAATATCATTTATTTCATGTTATCACTGTTTTATTACAATATACATAATTTTAATATTTTATTCGAATTATGTAGATATTTATGGTTTTGGATGGGTCTTTGTGATCTCAAATTTTCGGCACTTTATTATAGAACTACTTTAATACATTTGATTATATATTTTTTTGCACATTTATAATTTATTTGGATTTGTGTAATTATAAATCATTTTTCTTTTTCATAAATAGCAACAGGGAGGAAATGAGGAAATACTTTCTTGCGATGTATGTGGAATCACATACAAATTCATGAGTTCATTAACGAGGCACATGGTAACCACACATATGAATCCTGAAAAACTGCGACAGCAAGCAGAGGAGCAGCGAAGAAAACGCGAGAACAATTACCGGAAATATCTAGAAAACCGAAAGATGTACGAAACTCAGAATTATGGTACAAAACGTAAATATAATTTGCTTACCGGGGAAAACGACGAAACAGCTTGACTTAAATTTTCTTGTAGTTTTTTGACAGTTTCGTAAAGCACGACAGTAAGATTGTAACTTCTGTAAGAATAATAACGTATATTATGTTATTATCTTTGTATCATTGACGTAATGATAAAATAAGCATTTCATTTAATAAGTATATCAATAACATATATTAATTAAAAAATACGTGTAGATGTTTTGATATAGTATTAGTATATATAAATATATTATGGAATAGTCAATAGTATATGATGTAGCAATGTATTATACGCCATAAACGACATACACATACAATCTATACAGAGTATACATACATGTACACCGCATATATCTGTGCACAAAGAGAGGAAGATACAAATATATAAATATAAGATTTCTTTTGCATGCAAATGACTTAAAATAAAATAGTATCATCTATACACATAAATGTTTACAGAGTGCCTTAACCACTTACTCGTTTATTTGCATAATGTCTCCAGTGCTTTGAAGTAAGCATACTTAATATCGAATTCCATATCGTACCAATAATTGATGGATATGCAAGCATGTGACTGTGTCACATGATGGAACCATAAGGATGGCAAGTACAATATATCTCCAGCTCTGAGTGTCACTTTCAAGTTATGTGTGTTACGATATTCTGGATATCTATAAATAAATTTTTTTATATATTTTTTCTATTAATTTTGAAAATAAATGTCATTTTGAAAATAAAAAACGCTACTATATAGTGTATATTACTAAACTTTTCGTAGTTCGGATTTAAAGGATCTATACATATCCATGGCGTTGATGTTAAATTTGTGATTCTTCCTGAATCAAGCGTTTCATTAATTGACTCAATAATCCATTTTCCGGGTTTGTGTTCCTTGTAAACAGCAGACGGATAATTTTGATATGGAATCCATGGTAAATCCGTGGGAGGATGTAAAATAAAGTTTTTTTTACCAGACACAACACAATGTATATTTTCGTAAGGATCTTTATGCACTATAAATAGTAAAAATATGTAATTTAATTCGCATGTTACTGATTTTCAGAAGTAACTATATACACTAATAAAATTATGTGAACAGAAATACATTTTGTAAAATTCTTGAAATTATGAGAATGAAATTTATTTAATGACGATTATCTTATATCAATTAGATATCCAAGCACTTTCGACTATTTGTTACCAAATAAAATTAAACTTTACTAGAAGTTACAGCTCTTTCATCTCCCATCCAAAAGTTTACAGCATCAGGATGCTTTCCAAATGCTTCGCTGGCCCACAATATTTCAATTTCTGCGTCCGGCCACAACTTACAAAAGCTGTGTATAAAATTCGAATTTTGTTTCTGTATATAAAATACACTGTTTTCTATCGTGTTTTCTAATGTGTCAAGAAATGCTGATATTGTGAGTAAACGTTCTTCGGGCATTACAAAAAATTCCTTGGTACCGTCATCTCCTTTAATTACTGCATCTGCATAGCCATTTGGCGTTACAGCGACTGAAATCTTTTCGTCAGCAAGCACTTTGCGAAAATATGGTATAGACCATTTGTCTATAGCAGGCCAATGTTTTATTGCACCTCTTATTACTAATGGTACATTTTTCGAGACATACTCTCGGTAGAAGGCGAGTGGCGTAATTGAGTGATTTATTTCTGCAACTTCGCTTTGTAAGTACAACTCTACAATATAAGAAATTATAATAAAATTACAAGTATATAACAATAAAGAAACTCGTACTATTATTTACGATTATACAAAAAATGATTATTTTTTTCATATATCAGATAATTAGTCACGTAAAATATTATTCATTCAGAAGTTTCATTTATTTGTATCCTACAACAGCTATTGTTCGTTAATTAAGACGAGTCATATAATTATAAATTATAACAAAAACATATGACTTATTTTATTTATTTAAGTATCAGTAAATGTAAATCATAATTTTTTATAATTGTGAAAAGTAAAAAATATAAAAATTGCTCATTTTAAATTTACATAAATTACATATTTTGTAAATATAAAGCGTGTGTGTAGGATGTTTCCTTTTTATAAAATTTAAGGATATAAATTACAATTCAGTAACAATTCGCAAACGCTAACTTTATAAAGAATGTAAGGGTGGCTACCCATGCAGCGAAATAGTGTAACGCTGAACAAGAGCAAAACCAATTACAAGCGTTCCACACCAACTGCAATTGTATATCATTTCTATAAAAGATTGTTATCTAGAACTGGCGCCAAGTTAAATCCTATTTCTTTATATCATGACAAATTAAATAAATAATGAATATTAGTCTAACGATACGTATTTGTACAAAAGATTTGATATCAATAACTGTGATGCCAAATTAAATTCTACTATTAAAAAAAAAACCCAAGTGATATTATCTTTATTATTTACTTAATCCAAATGGTACTATCTTTAATTTTTATACAATGAAACCTAACACATCGGTCAATAAGTCCCCGGTCTGACACATAGAGAGCGCCACTAACACAAAAAGTACATAGTGGTTCGAAAGAACAGACCCTTTTAGGCGTACTGTCAAATGTATATGTCATTCGGATCATTATTGTGTGAGTTATTGAAGCTTTAGTGACGCTAATTTGGTTATTTTCATAACAATGGAAAAAAAGGAATTTCGTGTGCTCATTAAACACTGCTTTTTGATGGGAAAAAACACCGTTGAGGCAAAACAGTGGTTGGACAAACATTATGGCACCTCTGCCCCAGGCAAATCAACAATTATCGACTGGTATGCTGATTTTAAACGCGGTCGTACGGACACCGACGATGCACACCGCTCTGGTCGCCCAAATGAGGCAGTTGTCCCCGAAAAAATCAAGCAGGTCCATAAATTGGTTTTGTCCGACCGTAAATTAAAGCTGGATGATATTGCTGACATCGTAAAGATATCCAAGGGAAGTGTTTTTACCATTTTACACGATCATTTGTCGATGCGGAAGCTGTGTTCGAAGTGGGTGCCGCGTTTGCTCACTGTGGATCAAAAACAACAACGCGTCGATGATTCCGAGAGCTGTTTGGCCATGTTTCAGAAGGATCGGAAAGATTTTTTGCGTCGGTATGTGACCATGGACGAAACATGGATTCACCACTTCACACCCGAGTCGAATCGGCAGTCAGCTGAGTGGACTGCAGCCGGTGAAAGCCGCCCCAAGCGACCAAAAACTCAAACGTCGGCCGGCAAGGTTATGGCATCTGTATTTTGGGATGCCCATGGTATCCTTTTCATTGACTACCTCGAAAAGGGTGGGCGCATCAATAGCGAATATTACATGGCACTACTGACGCGTTTAAAGGCCGAAATCGTCGAAAACCGACCCCATATGGCGAAGAAAAAAATCATTTTTCACCAGGACAATGCACCGTGTCACAAGTCGATGGCAACGATGGTTAAATTGAACGAGTTGGGCTTCGAGCTGCTCCCGCACCCACCGTATTCGCCAGATTTGGCGCCCAGCGACTATTTCCTATTCGCTGAGCTCAAAAAAATGCTCGCTGGGAAGAAATTTCGATCGGATGAGGAGGTCATCGCCGAAACTGATGCGTATTTTGAGGGTCAGCCAAAATCGTTCTACAAAACCGGCATCGAACGTTTGGAAAGGCGTTGGACTGATTGTATTGCCTTAAAAGGAAACTATATTGATGAATAAATTCGAATTTTTATGTAACACTTGTGTTTTCTTTGCTAGACCGGGGACTTATTGACCGATGTGTTAAGTATACATATATCTTATTAAAGGATCTTCCTATTTCAATTCAAATGGTTTAAATTCCTCTTAAATAAAATTATTATATCACAATTCATTCAAAGACATTTTTTCTTCCAACTAAAGTAGTGGTTATTTAAGTCTCCTTCAAAACATTATATAAAATATTATCACAAAATTGCGTTACCTTGCTCAATTGAAGTGTTACCACAAAAAATTAATTAACCGTGTAAAATAAAAAAAATTAATATAAAAAAATTTTTCATGTAAAAACACTTGGCGCTGTTAGATCTCGATATAATAACATAGTGGTAAAATATGAATATAATATTTAGAAAAATAATATAAATAAGAAACATATTAATAAGAAAAATTAGAATCATTAAAAAATATGAATATTTAGGAAAATAAGAAAAATAAAAAGCATTCCTAATGAGATTATGCGTTTCGGAGGTTTCCTCCGTGTTCAGATGCGTTGACGTTCCTAGAATGGATCTGGACATGGAGGAAATCTGCGAAACGCATAATCTTTATACTATATAGAAAGCACCCGTGGAAGCCTCAAGAATATTCCCAATGAGAGTTAAAGTATCTAGCGTGTGTGTATATACGTGATTGAGTTATAGAGTCGTGTAAATTGAACGCTGTGAATGCTATTAAGACTCCTGACTAATTGGCAGTCATGTTGCAATCGTGACGTCAGAAATGAGGAATGATACGTTAATTTATGTTGCATGCCATTTTTAAATAAAGATAATTTGGATGAAATGAAATGACGAGGTCACTTTAAAACACTTGTAAAAATCGATGAAAACTGTCCTTTCCTGCTTTGAGTCAGTAAATGATCGTAAAAGGCACGTAAAATGAGGCAGAAACACACGGTCCGACAGCTGTTGAAATGAGTAAAATATAAAATTCGCTTTTACATATAAAATTCCAAGATAACTTTAGTTTTCATTAATAATTACGACTTTGATAAGTACGAGACAAGTCACATTTTCACAATTAAACAAATAATAAGGAAATGGTGGCACGCAACATAAATATCGTTGTCAAAACGTTATTTTTCCACGTCTATAAGTTCGGCCATTTATCGTGGTGCGGCGCTGTAACACACAACAAGCACGAGCCCATGTCCATGTGTTCGTTTGCGGCGCGTCGAGAGTGAAGCCGAGAGATAGCGAGCTCCTTATACTAATCGCTTGTTTCATGCGACCGAAAATGCTTTCTCGGCAATCTCGGCCGCTGATTCTTGTTCGGGTGGTCAATCTGTGCGGATGTGCTCACGCGTGCGCTCTTTCAAATCTCACGCCGCGAGTTTTCTAAGTGTTGCTTGCGTTCCTTTCGAGGCTCTCTCAGCCTCTTTTTTTCCCATTTCCAGACATTTTTATTGTTTTTCCTCGAATTCCATTCCTCGGTTCGTGCTCTTTTGAGTGGTGGTGGCATGCGGGGGGACCTTTCCGCGGATCCCTCAGACCCGGATCCGGGTGATAAGCAGATTGACCTATCGCGAACCATGCATTCTCGTCAATCTCGTTAGAGGAATTTGACACTTTTATTAATAACATTAATAAGACGTCCAGAGCTTCATCGCCAATTAGTTTAGACAACGCTAGAATGACGCAATCCGCTGGGATATTGCCGTTAACGCCCTCGTCCATGTCGCGGGAAAAGAGAGGTAAGAAACTCAGTAAAGAACAAGAAAATAATCAGCGTACTGTTGCAGATGAAGCTTCGGCGAGTAAAACCTTTCTTTCGCCGTAAGATGTTATTCGTAAAAATTTAGAAAGGTCTTTTTCCCCCCTTCTCTCAGAGGGGGATGAGGAGCACTCTACATCCGACATTCAAGATGAGTCTATGAAATCCATGGGAGATCCGGATTTAAATAGTAAGGTTTTTATTTCTAGCGGAAACGTTGATACGACTTCCTTAGCCACCCGTGACGGGGAGAACGCTGCGGTGACGGCAGCCTTGTGTCGCGTCAGCAAGAAACGCCCACCAGAGGAGGAGAGTTTGTTAGGGGAATCCCCCCCCCCCCCGTAAGTTGCCATCATCGGATGGCTTAGCCAAGGGCAGGTTACCGATGGATACAATTTGCAGACATTCTTCTAAAGATATGCCACCTTATGTGGTTCTTTTACAAAAAATTTCAAGTAATGACTGCTCGTTTAAATCCAATCATGGTTAGCCGTATTAAAGTTGGTCGATAATAATTTCTTAGTCGAAGTTAAGGCGGACCGCAACAAGGTCTCGGTCTCTCTCAATAATTTAGAGAAGGCCAACAATCTTTGTACCATCCACACGGATGCTCTTGAGGCACATAATCTCAAAGCAGCTATTCCTTTTTTTAGAGTCATGCGATCTGGGGTTATAAAAAATGTGCCGCAAGATGTCTCTGAAGAAACAATTCTCAATGAGTTCTCCTCTCCGGTTAAAATTATTTCGGTCCGTAGATTCTCTCGCAAGGTACGAAAAGATAGAAAAGACGCGCTTATCTTTATGTAATCCGCCTTGGCTAAATTTCAAGGCCAGAATCTTTCTTGTGCACTTACTTTTATGCATATTTCCTTTCCGATGTTTCCATATATCCCCCGTGTTCTAATGTGCTTTGTTTGTTTGAGGTTTGGCCATGTCAGTGCAGAATGCAAGAGTGCAGCTCGCTGTGCGAAATGTGGGCAGGGCAGGCATGTGAAGTTGGAGGATTGTTCTCGTCATAATCTTCCTCCCAAATGTTGTAATTGTGGTCAAGATCATTTTCCTTCTTCTAATAAATGCCCCATGTACCTCAGACAGAGGCAGGTATATCAATACACAGCTTTTGAAAATGTTTCTTATGCTAAGGCTCGCAACAGGTTTGGTATTTCCATCGTAAATTACTCTTTACTCTCTCATCCCTCGATAATTTTCCTTTTCTTCCTTCACACTCCTCTCCCTACCTTTTCCC